GCAACTGAATAGGTATTCCTAATCTAGGTTTGAATGGCTCTTCGGTTTCTTGGATGTTCTGGAAGAAGTCTCTTGGTTTTTTTTCTCTTATGTTGTCCTCTTTTATTCCTTTGCACTGGTCATTGTAATTTTTGTTTCCATTTGACAGGTGGTGTAAAGTTGCATTCAGGGTTCTGACCCTATTTCTGTCTCCTTTTGCTTTTGCTTCTCTCCTGTCCTAGCAATTGTGAGTGCTTCTTCTGTTATCAATTTTAGGCCTTTTCTTTCTTTTTGTTGCAGGAATTGTCTTTTTGCATTTTTTCTTAATAATGTGCCTGGTTTCAGTCCACAGCTCTTTTGGCTTTGGGTCACTTGAGTTCAGTAATGCAAATCTGTCCTTTGTGGGGAAATTAAATTGTATTTTGGCACTATGCTTTCATTAGTGATTTTTTTTCAGCTTTACTCTGATTTTTGGAATCAGTTGTTCATGGCCACTATTGCAAACTGCTCCTGGCCTTGTATTGGCAGCAAGAATACAACTACTCCATCTCCTGATTCCCATTACATTTGATTTCTATATTGTCTTCCTGGTGATATCCATTTATGCAATCATCTGATCAGCTGCTTGGAGTATATATTTACAATTCACAGATAGGAAGAACGTTTTGATTGTACAAGTGCTTTAAGCATGTGACAGTGGTGGATCCAGTTTCATTAGAGATGCTTAAGCAGGTTGTGAATGGCACCATATTGGACTTGTGCAGTTACGTGCATCTACAGGGCACTGGTCAAACGACTTATGAGAGTCCTTCCCATTCTTTGATTCTATCTATGCAAAGGGCCACAATGATGATGACACTCCTAGAAAGACATATCATGGTAATAGTGTGAATCCCAGTGCCAGAGAAAAGGCACACTCCTGGCAGATTAACGGAAGTGAATTGAGCAACTATGGGCTGTATAAGATGAATCATTGCCTCATTCTCTACTTTAGACCCAGTCATGGTGAGTGGATGAGGAGGAGTAATACCCAACCATGAGAGAGGGAGAAACCATGATATGGACCTCTCCAGTTTGGGCCTGTGTCCTTAATGCCTGTCCCACAAATCCTCCTGACAACAGGCTCCACACCATATGTGTGGTGCTCCGTATGTGTGAGGCACAGAGACTAGGGAGAAGAAGAGACTGTTTTAGGAACTTGCAAGGTGCTACCAAACTATGTCAGGTCATCTTAAATGGTGCAGATTCTATCCCTATACATACATTTTCTTTCAAAATGTAGAAATATAAATGTGAGAGAAACAAAACCTGACATTCTTCCTGGCATTAACATATATACTTAATACAGTGGCAACAGAAATTATACAGAAATTGGGTTGGCTGTGTACCAACATTCTCAGTGCGGCAGCAAATGAGAATTCCTACAGAGTTGTTCTCACAATCAGAAAATTGGAAGATGCATGACAAATAGCAATTGGTGACAAATAGAAATATTTAGTATAGAAAATACTGTAATCAGGACTGCTGGAGAATTATTGATTCTTCATATTGCTATCATTTATGAAGGTGTTCTCCATGTGCTCAGCATGTTAAAGCGTTTGCTAAGTGAAGCTCCAGCCTTTATAAAATTGCTGATTGAGGAATGCAGAAATTGTAGGGCTTTTTTCTGTCTAAACAAGCACAACATGGAACTCTTAATATCCTTCTGAGGAAGAACTGACTATCTCTATAACTACTTTTTTGGTTGAAGCAAATCTCACCTCTATGACAAGTTGAAGATCGTCCATGTACTTTTCCTCTGTCTGGATTAACTCATGCATGTAACCTTGCCTTTTCCTCTCCATAGGCTGCATTATGTCAAGGCTTTGGAGATCAGCACACCCTACAAAATGAAAGATTTCAAGTCAATTCTAGCCTAATTACTGGCTAAATATTAAACATGATATAGGCAGTGAAAGATAAAGAAAAGCAATCGGAACATAAAGAAAACTGACTTTGAAATGGTTGAACAGGAAGCATAAATATACTTATTACAGTCTTAGTTTACTCCCTTTTTTCAGTGGGCATCCTGTAGTCCTCAGTAGACTTATAGCTTCTAGCTTTCATGATCAGAGCTGGTATCAGTAGCAGGATTTTTTTTTAAATGTATGTATGTATTAGATTTATATCCCACTTTTTTCTCCTTACAAAGAACTCAAAGCAGCTTACATCATTCTCTGCCTCCTGCTCTCAATCTTATTCTTATACTCACAACTGCCCCCCCCCCCCCGCCATGAGGTAGGTTGGGCTGAGCCTCACCCAAAGTCACCCAGGTGGCTCCATGGCTGAGCAGGGACTAGAATCCAGGTCACCTGAGTCCCAGTCCCACACTCTTAACCATTATACCAGGGGCCTCAAACTCGCGGCCTGCGAGCCCATTGCCGGGACGGGCAGGGCATGGGGGAGGGGCCCTGCGGCCTTCAAAGCGCCGGCGGCGCCCGGGCCGGCCTCCGGGAGCCACGCGGGATGAGCGGCCCACCCCCACCGCGGGGGTGGAATACTTGATGCGGCCCAGCCTCACCCAGACTCTACTTCCAGCGGCCCCCAGGGAAGCTGAGTTTGAGACGCCTGCACTATACCCTGCTGGCTCGCGTAGTAACAGTAATGCTACACATTACAGCAATGGTATGAGAAGTGTTTATAAAAACCTTCATTTGGCTATGCTAACATTAGAATCGGACCTCTATGGCATAGCAGAATGAGAGTGATTGCCAAAATGTTTCATAAAGGCACAAATGACTATAAGACAGGGCCAATGAGAACAAATTGGCTCTGAAATGTTACAGCAGAGAGGTTCATCAGGTCCTTACTTCAGAGTTTTTGCAACCAAGCAAAGACCTTGTTTCCCCAGATTTTAAACATTAAAATCTATTTAAACAAGTTACAAATTGTGTTGTTATGGTTGCGCACCGGCAAACTTAATAAAAATAAACACAATAAAAATTAATATAACAGAATGCAATTTATACAATATTGTCTCCCAGCAGGGTAAAAATTTTTCTAATTTGCTTTAGATTCATAAAAAGGTACCAATTCCAATAACTTAAGATGATACACACCTTAAACAAATTACTATCAAGGTGGAAGGATTACTACTACAGATACCACAGAAATAATTAAGTTTGCTCTACATCCTCTCTCAAAGTTAGAATATATGAGAACATGTCTAATTTTACACCTCCAGCACCAAAGAAACCCACCAGAAAATGAGATGCATTTCTTTGCCAATGGTCTAACATACAGCAATGAATAAGCTTTAAATCCATACAAAAGTAGAAGTATCTTGGTGTTGCACAATCTAGGACATGAGAATCAGCATTACAGACATAAGACGCCAAGCCATTTAAACATAAATTTAAAAAGAAAGGGGATCAAGGTAAAACCTGGTTAATGCCCCTTGTAACAGGGATTGGGTTTGAAACTTGTCTCTGCTTCCCACACCTGACTCAGCTAGAAGTTTGGTTATTCAAGTATCCAATGAGGATCAGGGAGTATTATCCATGGAGCTTTTATGTCATTTGGACCATAATAATTTCCTTGGTACCAGATCAAAAAGTAATTTGAGATTATTAAAAGTAATTAAAAACCTTCCCACAAGGAAATGAGGTGTATTTCTCTATGAATTCACTCCATGAAAAATATGAATGTGGTAAACCTTAGTTCTAGCATCTGTCAGGGAGTCAGTCCCAAAAGCTGGAGTAACATGAATCATGTCATTAGAGATCACTTTTGTTAAGAACTCTACAATCCCACAGCTCTTTCAAGGTGACTGCAGGAATATCTTCAATTCTGAATAAGTGTATGGACAAGATGATATATGGCATTTTAGCTTATCCAATCATTCTGTGAAGATATCGAGATACCTCAAGAAAGGGACAAAACATCCTGACTGGGCAACATGAGAAGTGAGGTAGTTTGAAAATTGGCAGCCATAGCAACTGCTCAGCAAGGAAAAGCTGTAAGTTTTTACAAGTTACAAGTCATATGTCAGCCCCATGGAGATTCTACTTTGCAGGTATACAAGTCTATGTTATAAATGTAGCACGACTGCCAGCCTTGGTCCACCAACTGCAACTGGGCTGACAACAGTTTTCCCACTGAAAATTCTGGGAATTCTGCTTTGGTGAGAATTTTTTGGCAGAGGTCCCTAATTGCTTAGAGACCTATTTATTTATTTAGGGGACTTCTATGCTGCTCCATTCGCCGAAGCCTCGGGGCAGCTCACAACCATAAATAGAATTCAATAAAACAATATAAATTAACAATATAAATTAAGTCGCCCTGGCCAAAGAATAAAATGAATAAATAATATTAATAATTAAAATAACATTTGAATAAAAAGGTCTTTGCCTGGCACCAAAAAACAAGTAATGATGGTGCCAGGCAGACCTCTCTGGGGAGCGCATTCCATAGATTGGGCGCCACCACAGAGAAGGCCCTCCTCCGAGTACCTACCCTCCTAATTTCTTTCATGGAGGGTTCCCAGAGAAGGGCCTCTCCCACTGATCTCAAGGGGCGGGCGGGCGGGCATATATGGACCTACTTTTCTGTAAGTTCTTTCCTTGGCAGCCATAACAAACAAGTTTGAGACAGGCTTTCGGATGTCAACATGTGTTCTTGAGTTGCAGACACCTGGCACAGGGACACACTAAACTTAGCATTGCCATATCTTCAGTACTCTGCAAGTGTAGCACTGACATACAATAACTGACGTCCCAGAGTACTTTATTATTGGGAGATTCAAAAAATGTAAGGATTTTAAATAAATAGAGAGAGAGAAAGAAAGAAAATGAAAATATATTACATTATCTAAATCAGAGATGGGGCAGATGTTTTGGACTTCGGCTCTCATCAGCCAATATGGTTGATGGTCAAGAATGCTGATAGTTGATGTCCATAACCTTTCCTACCCGAATATAAACTGTACTTCAATATAAACTTGATTAATCTAACTATAATGGAAAAGAAACGATACACAAATATGTTCTTTTGTGTGTCACTTTAATAAAATAGTTTTGCATAGTTATTTCCAGTTTTCAATAAACAAAGAATGATTATCTCATACACAGCATGTGCTGTATTTGCATGGTGAAACACTGAATATTATTCCAAATCTTTATTACTAAAAAGCCCCAAAAGAAAACAAGAAAAGTAAGGCAACAAACAACACTATAATGGATAATAATTCAACATAATTAAATATATTAAAGCAGCATGATGCTGTAGCAGCCCAAATACCACTACAATGAGAGGTCTGTAAGCATTTGTGTGACAGATTGATTGACAACTATTTATGGTCTGACTGAATTTTAAAATGCAGTACAAGCCATAGGACAATACTTTGGCAAATACTGTGTTATAAGCACAAGCCACAATGTGGTGGAATAAATCATTTTTATTTAATAAAAAATCAAAACTTCTGTAGTTTTTTTAAACATTCTTATTTATATATGACATTATTTTTGTATATTTTCTTAGCTCTTTGTATGTATATGCCAAATGTCACAGACTCTGGAATTCTCCAGAACGCTTAATCAGGAAGGATGTTAATTTCTAATCTAGGCTTAGTCAAGAATCCTTTCTTCCTCTCTACTTTTTATTCTGTTCTTGAGAGACTTTCATAGTTAGCATATACATACCTTTGAGAAATTAATCCAATTTTCTGGAATGAGAACAAGTAAACATTTGTTAACTTGCTTCAAGTATATGCAGGGGTTCCATCACCTCCCTGTGGCTACATTAAAAGACTCCTAATCATCCAAAAGAAACTTGCAAGACCAAAGCCAATCATTTTAAAGCTAAAGACCATAGTTAAGAGAGTCACTTCACGTTCACCTAAACATGTGGGCTCATCTAGAAAATTTGGGTTTTTGTTTTGAGCAGCAGGCATCCATGCTACACACTAACTTTGGAAGTTTCAGAGCTGCTTGATATGCATGATACATGGGGACTGGCTAAGATGCAACAGTCAGGATTGGGGGAATCTAAGTCCTGCTGGGTATGTTGCATTTAGCAGTGGATGTACTTCTCTAGCCGATATGCTACATGATTGGGAAACATGTTTGAGTCAATGGTGTGGAATTTCAGTCGCCCTGAAATTCACCTGGCAGGGCTTTTTACCAATACTGACATTACATCAAAAAAAAAATGCACATCACTTTCTGAATTGCTGTACTTGTTAGTTCCATAACCTCTTTCAAGCTTGACCTTTTAAATCATAAGATATAAAAGCTACTGAGACAATTTCTCTGCAAAGCAGCATTGCTGCCATGATAAAATAACAGCATTGTTATGTGGTGGAAAAACAAAAAAGTATATTTGTTCTTGTAGTCCTTTTTAAGGTCAGTGAGGCCTATTTTGATGTTTTATGCTTGTTCAAATCTAAGTTTAAACAAACTTATCCATGAGGTTTCTCAGGCACCTGTCAGGCTACTGTGTGTGGTTGATGGGCTAGGGAAGTCACAACAATTTCACTCAGTTTTAATTCAGGACTGAAATACTGCATTTCTGGCATTACTAGATCTGAGGTTGGAAATTGTTAAACCAATGGCAGTTTGAGAAGAAGTCATAATACTACATGATTAGCATTTTTATTGCAGCATCACATGATAAACAATAATGGGCGGTATTCAACTGGATAGTAGCAAATAAAAGGGATCTCTAGCAGAATGTTAGCTAGCACAACAGGTTTTTCTGGGTTGTGCCAGTCAGCAATATTAGTGCTGTTATGATAGTGCAATATCATTTATTTTAGTGCTTATGCCTGACTGGTTACTGCCCCATCAGTTGAACAATGAGCCACTTGCATTTTTGCTGTGATAATTTCATTCTGTGGAAAATCACAGAAAAATACAAATAAGATGAAAACACATTCATAAATTGATAAAGACATACAGCTAGTTTGTATTGCATGAAAGATCCTTTCCCAGGACCCATTTTTAAATCAAAGAAATACAGGTATCAATAATTTCATAAAAAGCTATTAAGAATTAATAAATTCAGTTTATGCTGGAGGCAATAATAAACTCACTTGCTAAGAAGTAAGTACCATCAAATACAGTAGGATTTTACTTCTCAGTAAACATGCATATTATACATATTTACTAGACAGTGAACATAATGGGACATCTGAGTAAACAGTATTACACTGTTAGAACACTGAACAAAAGGTTTCTGAATAAAATTATATTAATACTATTTTATAATAATTGCTAACTTTTATATGTTCACTAAATAGTAAACACTGCAGATTGTATATATCACAAATGTTGTCTGCAGATTCTGGAAACCTGCTTTTATCTGCCATCAATTTTAAGAGGTTAAGTTGCCATATTTTAAACAATCCCCACTATTTAAAACAAAAGCTCCACTCATTCAAGATTATCATCATACTGCTAAATTACTGAAGTGCTACATAATAAGGAAATTTTAAAATCACAAATTAATTACATCTCCAGCAGTAAAGGGTATCTTAGTTACCTATTCCATTTTTTAGAAGGTAATTTAATGTTGCTTTGAAATGACCATTCCAAATGAACATTTCCCTGAAGCTGGGATCAAAATGCTTAGGAGCATGATACAAGCTCAGAGGGGAGGATAAAGTTGCCATGAAAAAACTGATATGAAATACAGCAGGCAAGAGCCCATCTGCTCTGTAGGATTATACTCCTTCCCCTGCAAAAAAAGTTGGCCAAAGTAGAGCAGGACTCTTCTGTTCCAACAGATGACTAGGAAATTACTAGAGGTCAAAACAGGTGCACAAATATTTAGTAATGCTGCAACAGTAATTAAATGTTTTCATGTTAGGGCTATGCACTTCTATACTTCTAAGTATAGCCAAAAAAGCCTGGTATTTTCCAAGCTCTAACTACATGTTATCTGTAAACATGAACCACAATTGGTCCTTTTTTTTTCTTTCCAGGAACAATCAATAGAGAGAGGGGGTGATGGCAGGAAGGGCTGATAAGCCCCACCTCCCCCTGTGTCTGTCTGCTTTAAACTACCTCCATTTTCTCTCCCTGAATTGGACAAAGAAGCATACACACAGAAGCATCCAAGGCATGCCTGAGGCCCTCCTCCATTCTGGATGGGATTCTTTCCACTGAAAGAAATCAGGCTTGAAGGGTCCCACAGAGGTGAGAATGGTGTAGGCTGCAAGAAGACTGGTATGTTCTGTCCTGTTCCTTACGACATCACGGGAGCACAAGGAAGCTTGCCATGCTTAATCTGGAACTGACTGGGCCCTTTTTGTTGCCCTGCCCACTCTACAGACATCTGAAGGATCAGGACTGAGAGCAACAGCTTGGTGCAGCTGAGGGAGGATGAGTCAAACATACGACCTCTATGCTCCATCACGATCCCAGTTATGAGGAGCAGAGTAAGGATTAGAGGCCTTTTAGTCTTATTTGTCCCCTCGTACTGAGATGCCAAAATGGGTTCACAAAAATAGGATTCCCACAAAACAAAACACAAAAAAACCCAAAAAACAAAACACACTCATCCTGACTTGTTCCATCATTATCTTCTACCTTTAATATACAATGATATGCTGTATTACTGAAGAGGGATATATTTTTTTAACATTGGAGAAAGAGCTGTCACATGGATCAAAATATATTTGTGCCAGATGAAAGCAGCCCAAGATCTAAAAGCCTGAAGACACAGTGAATAGTATTAAGTGCATAAAAAGCATACAAGGTTTTATTCCACCTGTTTTATCTCCCTGTCCCCAACACAATTATTACTTGTGCACAGAATCACATTGCAAGAGATTACCAAGCTATAAAACAGCAAAGGAACTGCATGGTGCAGCATCATGAGAACACAACTACCCTTGTGAAGCAGTGCCAGTAGTAGGTCTTTGTGTGCCTGAAGTCGCACAGTGCCAAGCGATAACTTGACAAGCATGCTAATCATTCATGATTGTTCCTAAATAAACGGTATAGAGAAAACCAGACTGGACAGTGCAGAAAGCCACACAAAGACCCACTAATCAGTTTGTATGAATAAATTGTGACTGTACAATACAGAACAAAATTTGTAGACTTGAGTGGACTTAATATTGAAGCGAAGCAAATGAATTGTTTCAGAGAGATCTGAGCAGGCTGTCCCACTCTGCTTCCATGCTATAGTCAAACTTGGGTAGTGGGTCTCTGAGGTGCTTTCACACTGGAAGATATTAGATCCTTTAGAAAAAGAAAAAGAAAAGAGAATTAAGGATAAATGATTGCAACCAATTTTTTCTAAGTGCAATATGCAATCCTATTAAAACAATTTATTACTAATATATTTTTGAAGGTTAAATTGCATTTTTTTACTTTTTTCATTTTAAAGAAAACTATATAGGCAAAAGATATTTTTCACAATCTATCAAATACTGCAAAAACTCATCAAATACTGCAAATACACATTAATACACAGCCACCAATTGCTAAACAACAGGGTAAGGCAGGGTAATTATAATCATAAACAACAAATACTGTTGTTTATTATTATAATTTCCAGTTCTTTAGTACCATAACAATATACTACCAAAAAGAGTGCAAAATCTGACAATTACAGATGTGATTAGGATATTCATCTACTACTATGGGTCTTTATTTCATGAAACCATCAGACAAAATAACCTTTGCTCAAAACAGAATTAGGCAATGTGCCTAATTGATTTCCACCAGATTCCAGAAGCAGGGAAGACATCAGGCAGATGTTGATGACCTTCACACACACACACACACACACACACACACACACACTCTTCCACAAAGATAATTAATAGCAGTGTGAAAGTAACACTATACTCCTTTCTTTGACTGGTTAAAAAGGTAAAGGTAAAAGGTAAAGGTTTCCCCTTGACGTTAAGTCCAGCCATGTCTGACTCTAGGAGGTGGTGCTCATCTCCATTTCCTAGCCAAGGGAGTCAGCATTTGTCCACAGTCTCCGTGGTCATGTGGCCGGCATGACTAAACACCGAAGTGCACAGAACGCTGTTACCTGCCCACCAAAGTGGCACCTTTTTATCTACTTGCATTTGCATGCTTTCGAACTGCAAGGTTGGCAGGAGCTGGGACGGAGCAACGGGAACTCACCCCGTTGTGCAAATTCAACTGGCGACCTTTTGATCAACCAGCCCAACAGCAAAGCAGTTTAAACCACTGAGCCACCTGCATCCCTCTGTCTGGTTAGGGGTGAATTAATATAAAAGTAGTATTATACATACAACAGGTGCACTAAAAAAAATGGTATCTATTGGGGTGGCCAGACTGAGGCCTGGGTGCCACATGCGGTTCTTTGAGTTTATTTCACAGCTCACAGAGGGCTTGGAGCCCCTCGTCCTGCCCCAGTCCGGAGCCTAGCGATGGCATGGCCATGATTGTGGCGAGCTCTCCAGAGAACTGCTCTACCTTTGTAGATGGAGTAGCATTCTTTATGAATTGACAGAATGCCCAACTCTGAAGCCTGAGTGTAGGTCTATTTGGAACAAGAAAAAGAAACTGCCAAGTTTGTCACAAGAAAATAGAAAAAGAAGAGCATCTTCAGGAAAACTTTCCTGAGTGGTTCAAATGGTGGCTGGGTTAAAGGACCTGCCCCAACTCAACACCCCAACTGGAAGGACTGCACACTATACCACTTAAAAATTGCTTCAAATCAAGAATGGGAAGAAATAGGTTAATTTGTATTCTCCAAGACTGCATGCCGAGCATCTTCATTAAAAATAAAATGTTTTATATTTAACTAAATAACTGCATCCAAGTTAGATTGGAAAATGCTGGCACATCTAAATATGCCAGCCAGAAATGCATTTATTTCCCTTACAACATTTAAAAAACCTACTCCAACATCCTCTGGACTGCTCAGCACCCTTATACTCTAGCAGTGGCTGCTTAGCCTCTATGGAAAGGTCCAGGGTCCAGATGATCCTAAGGCTAGCTCAGAAGACTAGCTTCTGGATGATGTTGCCATGGATATTCCTGAGACAGCAATTTCAAATCAAAAAGTCAAACATACCTTTGCCTACAGAATGATTTCTTGGCTGTGATATGAACAAGTTGCCTTACTGTAACTGTGTTTCCTTAAGTGGTCATCTGTGCATTCAGGCAATGGGTTCTATACCTGTGTGAAGCTTCATTTTTGGAAACTTCTAATGCAAAGGAATTTTGGGTGGGAATCCTAACCTACCATTCTAGATCATTTGTCCTTAGATTTCCTCAGTTCCTCTGAAGCCTTGGAACTAAGAAGAACTTTGGTATCAACATCAGTACAGAAACAAAGACAGACATTGAAAATATCTGCTGAATCAATCTGATGGTGATATTAAAGTGGGAGTGGTAGATGGGTCATGTGAATTCAGAAATAACCACTAGAGGTGGTTATAAATAACCCCATAGTTACAGTTAAGCAACCTATTCTCCTCCATCATGATCTCTGTTCATTACACATTTGGAAGATTAAAAGGTTAATCTACTGGAGATGGAAGTGTATCATCAATGTAGCACAGAAATGGGCCACTTAGCCAAAGGCACAATCTGTTCTGTGTCCAGTCTACAGTGCCAGATTAATGTAGACTCCCTCATTTAAGTAGCTGTGCGCACAATTCTGGTAGTGGAGCTTCTGCACCAAACTTAACCAATGTTATGACTACACAAGGAGAGTGTGCGCTAAGAGACAATGAATGCTCAAGTCCAGCCAGTCCATAAGCCCAAGGAAATAGTCTGACTAGGAAGTCTTTTAGTCTTTCCTCTGTAACGCCCAAGAAGTCTTTACAATTTACAAAGCAATTCAGTATGAAATCCATAAAAAGCAAGGGGTCTTTGTGCATTAAAAGCAAGTCCGGTAGACTCCAAAAAGGGATGTAAAAAATGTAGGTTGTATACTTTGCTTGATGCGAAAATCTGAAATCATGTTAAGAAGAAGCTCCTGGAGTTTCAGATGTTCCACAAATGTCACCATCAGTACAGTGAATGTGCATGAACCAGAACCAGATGAGGGCCTAAGATGAAGAGCCTGTAGAGATCACAATTCTCTTCACAAAAAAAATATCTGAAACTTCATGTGAATTGATGAATTGGAAGAAAGATCAGCTATGTGAGGTCTAATGGACAAAAAGTCCTCTTGAGAGACTATTATGGATTCTCAGTATTTCTATGCAGAATTTGTTCCTCCTGATGAAATGATTTCCAGCAGATAATTTCCCTACACTCTCTACCCTTCTTGGATGTTGAAGGATACAGAGTAAATCCCTGAGTAACAGTCATGCCATGGCACTATCTCAATTGCATGGATTTCCAGCAGCTGATGTATAGTCTGGAGCACCAATAGCTGCTCCTCTTCCTTTGATTTTGGAGACACAAGAAAATAATTGTGTGAAAAAAGCTTTAGAGATGCAGAAAATAGGTGCTTCTCACCATTGTCCAAATGACCAAGTGAATGGTAGAAGATGCTATCCATTCTTTCTGAAACTGTTGCAGGGTCTCTCTCACCACAGAGGAAAGATAGTGAAGCAGATTGGTTGGGGCAGGACAGAATTAAAAAATAATTTGCCACCTCATTCAGAAAGGACCTAGCAATCCATGAGACTCAGATGGCTGACCTGCCCTGTCCTACCATGTACCATCTGGGTCAAAGCACCATCTAAGTTATCAGAGGCAACAGCTTGCTCAACAGTCCTCCAGAAAACAGTTCCACTGTATCAAGTGACCTTTGCTCCTTTTTTTAGCCTGCCCAGGCTATAGATCTTTTTAAAATTTAAATCAAATATTGCAAAGTGACAAAGAGTGATAAAAATTACTGTGAGTCAAATTCTTTACATTCTTTCTGATCACTCAGAATTTCTATTTGGTGGAAGCAAGCTCATCTGATAAAGTTACCACTCAGTGTCATAACTGATTGTTCCACAGAGTTTCATGTGTTACATATACTCTTCAGTACTGGTGAATTCAATAAATGAATATCATATTCCATAAGAAGGGCCCATTTATATCAGATGACTTTATACTTGAAAATATTTAGTGAGTTTTCCAATTAGTGCAAGGTTCCAGATTTTCTTTTCATTTAACTTCATTTCTGATTCAGTTTTTGAGGTTTATTAACAAAGCTGCAACCATGTATAATGGCAAACTGCTAAGATACAACCAACTTCAGTTTGAATCAAATTTCCAGTTAGCAGCTAGAACCAACCTGGCTGCTGTACAGAAAAGAACAAGTTAAGAGTTCTTTATTTGTGTATTGGAGTCTGTATAAAGATATTATAGTCCCAGTTCTGGAGGTAGTGTTCTATCTTGCTGTGTGACCTCATGAGTGAAGGCAAAGACCTGAACCCAAAAGCTTTGCACACGTGAGTAACTGCACCACATATGCAGGTAAATACATCTGGTGGCCTAACAATAACAGACCGTTGCTATCATCACCTTCAATGCATTTTTGTTCACTTCCTGAAACAGACTTCATAGGGGCTACTACTTCTACTACTACTACTACTACTACTACACACACACACTAAGTATGGTAGAACAATCAACTACTCTCTGTGCTTAGCTGATATCCACAATTCCTATATTTCTCCTACACCATTTATTTCCTTTCCATAGCCATACGATTTAACTGTATTTTTGCAGGTAAGCCTTCTAGTTCAGATCTGGTCAAGGCACTAAACTTTTAAACCTGTTTCATGGACATAACACGAGTGCTGGTGTAAATGTCAAATGAAGAATTTGGTGCATCTGAAACCATGATATATCCTCTGAAAATTGTTATCTTTGTCTAAGTTTTTGGTTGCAAGCCATTATACAGATCATTGAAGGCACAGTCTTATGTGGCAGCCTCTAACTCCAAGAAGGTTATAGGTATGTAATGGAGCACGGAAGTTCCTTTTGCACTCTATCCACAAAAACATTTATACAGGTGTTTTCCTTTTCTTCATGAGGAGGAAGACCTGAGGCACTGTCTGGATCTGGTGGAAACTAACAGTGCCTTACACCCTCTCTGACCCTGGAACGCAACCTTCTTTCCCTGTCCAAGAGCTGGTCTTCTCCTCTGGGGCTTCAGCCAGCTCAGAAAGAACTGTTCTGGATATGAGGGTGGAGGGGGACCCTCCAAAGAAGCTGCCACTGCTTAGATCTTGGAAGGGATTTCCTAGGTTGCCATACGGATTCCACCTTTTCCTATGGCAGGCCACCCACCCAGCCAGCCTGCCAGCCAGCCAATGTCTACCAGCCATAGGATTGCCCCCTGAGTCTATATAAACCTTCCCCCACCCCCATTTTGCAAGCCACTTTATTTTATATATTTATGTATTTATTTTTGGGTACAATAAGAATTACAACACATTAAAAAAGGAATCACAGTGAAGGAAGAAGACATCAAATTTTATTCCATCCTTGCCAATATGCACTATATTGTTTAAGAACAGGTCATCTACCATTGGACTTCATTTTAAATAGCTGCACTGAAAAAGCATATCTCCAAATACTTTTTACTGTTCCCTAGGTAGTAATCCAAAATTCAGTTTAATTGGCATGTATTAGTGAATTGTTTGATACAGTAAATATGTTATTGAGATAATTTGGGAATTCCCAATTTCTCCTTTTGTCATATTTATATAAAATGTTTGCATTGAACTGAGCCTGTTATTATAAAACAAACAAGCAAGCAAGCAAACGGTAGAAACATTACTTGCCATTAAAAAAAAAAGTTCCAGTAAAGTAAGAGGCAATGTTTGAAATAAAGAAGTGCATTCAGGTAATGCTTTCATTTTAATTACACTTTCCCCCTACCATTTAAATTCAGATTTGACCATTGTTTCAATTTTTGTTTAATGTATTTGATCATTGGGTAGTAATTCATTTGATCACTTTTGTCAAGTCAAATTTTATAACTACTCCTGGTTATGTTAGTTCCTCCTTCTCTGTGTACCCTTACTTTTTTCCCAAAAGCAGAAGCTGCTATATTTTCTAGAGTCAACCTGCATTCCTGCTGCTCATCCAAAGTCTTTTATTAACTGCATGGCCATTGTTAAGCTTCTAATAAAATTTTATAGCATTAAAATAATATAGAACAAAACCAAATTAATAAAATTTGCTTGTAAATTAACTTGAATCTTTTCTGTTGATGGAAAGTGTGAAGTGAGTTCCCTAAGGACTGAACTGAAAAGGCAGCAAGTGGTGGGGACAGAGGACTACCTTGTCTGTTTTGCCTGTTAATCTTAATTGATTTTGAGCATATTCCATATGTTCTAAGGACTATTTAATTTAAAAAGCTTAATGGAGAAAGACAACTGTGAAATCCATCCCAGTACATTTTCTTAAGGCAAGCAAGCAAGAACACTCTAGCTGATAAATAACTTTTAAAAACTTTACTGTCTAATGATAATATAATGTATAGGTTTCTGTTCTTTTTCATGTAAAACGAAACTACACTAAGTAGTCTTCTTATTAGGCCAGCTACACTACTTCTAATTAAAGTGCTCTTTTACCTTACCTCTCAGTTAGAATCCCTGTAAATAGATATCTTATTTGATATTGTAATAGGGTGATGAATCAGAATCGGAATGCTGTTACCTTCCCACCGAAGGGGTACCTTTTTATCTACTTGCATTTGCATGCTTTCGAACTGCAAGGTTGGTAGGAGCTGGGACAGAGCAACGGGAACTCACCCCGTTGTGCAGATTCAAACTGGTGACCTTTCAATCAACCCGCCCAGCAGCACAGCAGTTTAAACCACTGCACCACCTGCGTCCTACTCTGATTGTCTAGAGCAGTCGTCCTCAAACTTTTTCACCAGGGGGCCAGCTGACAGGTGCCGGTGCTGGGCACGGACCGGAAAGGTGGTGCTGGCAGTGTGCATGGGCCGGCGTGGGGGCGCGTGCTGAGGTGGGGCATGCGGTGAGGCAAGGGTGGCCACATGGCGAGGGGAGGCGAGGCGTGGGCAGGGGCGGGCACGCACTGTGAGGCAGGCACGCAAGGCAGCGGCTCGCTCGCTCGGAGATGGTTTTCTCTGAGCAAGCAAACTGCTGCCTCTCCACATGCGCAGGGCGAGGGGGGTGGCAGCGGGTGTGGGCGCAGCGGGTCCAAATGGGCATGGCTGTAGTTTGAGGACCCATGGTCTAGAGGCATATAAATCTGCAAAAAGTATTTGATTTATAATTTTTACTCACATTTTGCTTGTTTATTCTTAACTGAGTTATATTATTTTTGGTCAGTTCCCCGACATTATTCAGGAGTGCACAAGATACCTGGTGTCTAAGCACCACAGTCCACAAATCGTAGTGCCCAGACAATGACAGCCAAGACCCAGTTGTGTGCCTTCGCAGCCTCCGTGAAAACAGACTGGTTGCCTCACCATGCGGCCAAGCTGGCTCTAAGAGGGGTGTGCCAGGAGGCAGGGAAGGAGGCTGGGATTGTGCAGCTGCATAGATCCCAATCAGTACCTCAGCCTTTTTCCCTCCCTGCATCACCAGCCCGATAAATGGACAACCAAACATGCCCATCTAGATAAAATGCAGGGTGTGGGGTACAGCCCCTACTCCAAACTCTTTGTCAGACAGTTAAGTCCTCTTCAGCTAGGATAAAAAAATTCTCCATCAAGATTTTATTGCTGTTTCACACTGCTTGCGGTCTTTGTTAAATTGCTTCTAACTCATGCACATTTTCCTTTCTTGTCTTCAACTTCCTTCCCATTCTGACTAATCCAGGGGGGATGGAAAAGGCTGGCTTCAGAAAAATGACAAGAGTACTGTCAAAAGCTGTTTTGCTTTGTCCAAGCAAAAGACCAGAACTGGGAAGGGCTTCCTCCCATAGGATGGTATGGATAGGCAAGTGTAATTTGCATTATACCTAGATGGAGCAGGAGGTACAGGTTGCTAAAGCATAACCTCAACCACTATCAGAGAAACATACATATATATTCTTATTTGTGTCTTTGTACTTCATCATATGACAACCTGACTGGCCTTGAAGGATGGGAAGATTTCCCTATTGCCCCAAACACACACTTAATGTTCAGAGTCAGAATTACAGGAGATAGTATTAATAGCAGTCCATGCCAAAAAAGAAACAGAAAAAATACTTTATAAGAGTAATAGAAAGTCAGAGAACCTACAATGCAATTCATCTTTCACTTCTCCAATATGCACATTTGCTTCATTGACAACAGCAATTCAGCACCTCCTTGTATAGCATGTACAGGAGAAGGTCTAAAATCAGGGCTACAGTTTTGGAGCTTTGACTCTCTTTTCCCCCCGTGGCCACTTTTGCTCAAACCTGCACTGCAGTGCGGGAGACAGAATAAGCACGGCAAAAGGGGCGGCATGGCACTGTCCTGAGCTCTGCCGCAACGCCTCCAACAGGGTGGGGGTGGGACCTCTGTATTTGTGGAGGCCCCTTGCACGATGCAGAGCCATGACTATGAGGGATTCTAAATTACACAGGAGCCCCCACAAGTACAAAGCAGGCCCCCACGTGCCGCTACATCAGAAGTTATGGCGGACACACAGATGAGACAAGGATCTTGAACTTGTGGGCTGGCCAGAAGGTACAGTCCTGCTGGCCCTTCAGCTATGTTTACACTACCCAGGCAAGTAACATAATCCCATGACTGCAAATTACCATGTTCTACAGCGTCTTGCTACCTGAGTAACAACTTGCTTTTCAATCCCATGCAGAGGGCATTGTGAAGCCTAAGTTTTAAAACCAGTTCATCATTATTTAGAAAAGGAATGGAGGCAATAATTTATGTTTTACTCTAGCCAGCAAAGTCAAACCGGACATACTTTCTGCTTTGCCTAAAAGAACAAGCACAGGGTTTGGAAACTGTAAGATTGTTTGGAAACTGTAAGTGAAGTGGAGTTATAGCTTCTGGACAAAACTGTTCACACATAGACCCAAATGTGACAAAATAAAAGGGCTCACAACCTCCTTCCTGATCATGTAAGATGTATGATTTCTGGAACCTCCATAGCTTGGGCCAAAAATGGATCAAGTAGCATTTGCACAACCACAGCTACTAAAAGCACAAGAAAAACTATGCAATCATGTGAATAGCACATGAACAACTGACATAACATTGGGCTCTCCCACACTGGAGGCATTAAAGATGCAGGCTGACAGCCATCTGAGAAGGATGGTTTAACTCGGAGCCCTGCACTGAGCAGGGGGTTGAACCTGGTGGCCCTCTGGCCCCTGCCAACTCTACTATTCTATGATTCTGTGATAAAAGCTAATAAAATCCCATTGCTAGAGGTGAATGACTCAAAATGTAATGAACATTAACATACTTGGGCTTCCCAGGCTACTTAAGGGGTGATATCAATGTTCCTACACACGCAGTGTTGCCCTTGCGGCTGAAAAGATTATGCACGCTGCTTGTGGATGTATATTAAACTTTCCAAAAGGCTGTTCACTAGTTGCTCAAAGTTCTGCAACTAATGTGAACTATTTCAGACATTATTTTTAGTCTCACAGTTGCAATTATGGTCTGAATTTTTTGCTGAAGGGGTGGAAACATGTGTAGTCAACTGTCTGAATGAAGTAAATGAAAAATAAATAGTATGAATGATGATGGTTTTGATACAAAACTAAAATATGGAAGATGAGTAAGTCACTCATTGCCTTAAATAAGATTTACTTACACTGCTGACTTGGATCAGAGTCTGTGGTCAGCTTTACATAGTTTGAAGGAAAGAGGCCTGATATGCCATTGATTTCTCCTTGCCACCAGTCCATATCTTCTTTGTTCAGAACATTAATAAGCTGCCCTTTAGAGAAACTGAGTTCGTCTTCATTATTTGCTGTGTAGTCATACATTGCAATCACTTGGCAAACTAAAAGGAAAAAAAATATCCACAAAGTTAGCTGCTTTATTCAGAGGAAGCAAAAATATCAAATATTAATACCAATTATAGGGGAGGAAAAATGCTTTATTTCTACTTTTAAAACACTGCCTCCTCAGTTCCATTGCTCTAAGTGATAAGCTTCATCTAAAGAGTGTAGGGAATTAGCAAAGGATGATCTTGCTCACTTACTGTTTTATAGGTATTCTTTAACCACAGAGAAAGGCTAGCATTTTCCATATGCTTAGCTGTATCAAAAAGCCACACATTTTGGGGCGATGGTAGTTAGAACAGCTCCAGTGATATACTGTGTCCAGCTGTCACTTGGCCCAAAATAATTTCTGCTTACCCTTGTGAAATATGCTATTCCTGAGAAAGATTGATTGGGTTAAAAAAAGCAGCTCTTTGTGGATAACTAGCCATTGCAGGTTCCTGTGTCACTGAACCTTGGACCCTCTCCCATAGTGTGGCCTGTTTTGGGGCAACACATTATCTGGCAACCCATGGCTTGTTCTAGGGCTTGTTGCACACACAACAGGCTAGTGCATTGTCCAAACCTGGAAGGCCAATCCCATTCCTCTGCAACGCCACTGACCCACTCATTGCTTTTGTGTCACAGTCTGCCTGGTGTCTGGCTGTGTTGATCTGTTGATTGGAAAGGCACAAGGCTTCTGCCTGGACCGTGCTGACTAGCTCCATTTGGTGCACTTTAGGTTGTCACAAAGGAAGCTGATCTTGTCCCAGAGAAAAGCTGGTGGTGAACCTTCTCAGGCATTTTGTAACCCATGGGGCAGAAGATAAATATATGTGCCTTCCCAAAAGATCTAGGCAGCAGCCTTCCCTGTCCACTGGTAAGGAGTGCTTGTGATATGACCTTCTGTGGGCTGACATAATGACAGTGGGATTTGGTCAAGGGTGCTGGAATGAGAAGTCCACATCCTTCTTCTGCACCCTGCACATGTTCTCCAGAGGCTTGGACATTGATGTCATGGAAGATGGTGCTTTCCACAATAGCTGTACCATCTGGAGGAGAGTTGGCAGAAATTATATTGGAACCAGTGTTTATGCTTCTGTGTAGATTGTGTTAAAAACTGGGTCCTTTTCTCTTTCTGTCAGTTGCTGTGTGTCAGGCTGGGGACTTGTTCAGAAAAATGGTCTTTGGATAGGGAGGCTGGATCTTGGGTTCCCAGAGCTACTTCTGGACAAGGTCTTTGTTGTACAGAGGAAGCAGGAAACGATGATTGGAGTGGCAGCATGGCGGAGATGGTAGCATAGATAGCATAGCATAACTTGAGAGGCCACAGGCTGGGAAGCTGCCAGAGGAACGCTAGGTGGCAGTGGTAGAGGGTAGGTAGAAGGCTGAATTTCCAAAGAAATGCTCCAGTTCTCCAAGTGGGACGCAGGATGGAACTCCTTTTGGAACCAAGGATCACAGAAGGTGTCTTGGTCCCCAGGATAACCCAGTGGGTTGTAATAACCTCAATACAGTGGCAGGACAGATCATTCTGAATGTCTATCCCAGTCAGAGAGATGGGAATTGGAATTTGGTTCCAGAGTAAGTTGGCTTCATCAGCACTGGAGACGTGGACAACATGGTGGATGCTGAGGTGATGGGTCTCAGATCTATCCTTCAGAAACTGAAGCCACCAGTATTGGTTCTGGCCTGAGGTCTACAGCTGTAAAGACTAGAGGCAGCTTCGGGGCTCCCTCTGCTGGTCAAGGACCAGCACAGCAGCCCTGGTAGTTGCAGGATTACTACCCCAATCTACTGCAGCTGCCAGGGCTCTCATGAGCTCCACCTGGGAGCCCTGGGGGAAGAGCTATATAAGAACTGGCTCTTCCCTCAAGAAGATGCCTTGGGAATAGAGGCTTTCTGAGTTGTTGAAGTGGTCCTGGGCTGTGCACTCCTGGACTTTACTCCTGGAATTTGGCCTGTGACCCTGTTCCTGGATGCTGCTTGGGATCCTGTGCCTGATCCTAGATCCTGCTTGTTTTCCTGGCCCTTGCTTGCTCCTTTTCCTGCTCCAGCTCAAGGTAGCTGTTTCTCTTGGCTTGTCTTCTCAGCTCCCTGACCCCTGGCTTGTCTGACCACACCTGCCTCTCAAATGGACTCTGCCTTGTGTCTCAATTCCCAGCTCTGACCTTTGGACTGATTAACTGTGCTTTTGGACTGACCCTTGTGTCCCCACCTGGTTACCTGGGTCCTGGTGCTCCTACCTGCTAGTCAGCTGTCCATGCCCTGGACACTGACAAAAGGATTGGTCTCCTAAGCACTTTGGTACTGATGGATCCAACTGTGTTGGAATAGAGTGGTGACTCTATGCTGCTTATGGCCCTTTGTTTTTGTGGCTTCCATCAATTTTGCTGCCTTGGTCTTTTTTACCTACTTCTTGGCTTTGGACACCCTCAGAAATTGTCCAGGCATTGGAGGTACAGTCCAGCCCATGCCTAGAGCCCTGACTAAGGCAGGAACAGTTGGAGGCAAGGCAGAAGTCTCTGAAGTGGATGGGTGCTCCTTTATTGTCTTGGAGAAATCCATTGCCTGAAGTGCCTTGTTCCTAAGTTCCATTCTTAAGAAGTCCACCCTATTTCTGTGGGCTTGTTTGGTGAAAGCCTAACAGTAAGGGCAAGATTCCACAATACGGCCTTCTCCCGGGCAAAAGAGGCAAAGGGATTACCCATCGGTAGGTGGAAATTTGCTATGACAGCTAAGGCACTTCCTGAAAGGAGCATTCAGGGCCATGTGGCTTAAGAAGGAACTAAATATTTCAGGAAGAACAGAGAGGAAAAAGGTGCAGAGAATAAAGATTTGGGATTCCAAAGGACAAAGGGGTTTTTCTATATAGAAAAAGGCAAAAAAAATCAGTGGAGCAGGAGGAAAAAAGAGTTGCAAGGACAAAACAAAAGGACAACAAGAATGAAAAAGGTAGGAAGATGTTGCTAGCAATTGCAAAGAGAAAAAACTCCCTGAAGCTACAATGGCAGAAAAGGAAGAACTGAGGGAAATGAGTGGGAACCCCTCTAATATAGAAGGAGGAATGGTTCCAAAACTCCCTCAGCCCAAGAAACCTCCCAGATACAGACTCCACACAGACACAGATCCTGTATGTGTGATGTGCAGAGACTGCTAAGAAGAAAGTGATGGGTGTTAACTTCTAAAGATGTCAATGTAGGTCTTTGATATGCTGGTACTCTTCCAAGTATAATTAAAGAATGATCCTCTGTGAAAACAATCTATGTGTATTCAGAGTCACTAACAGATCACAACATAGCTCAGTTACATCTAGGTTAATGCTTATTTCTAAACTTTAATGTGGTATTGTTTATATGGAATTTTAGGAACTAATTCCTAACCCTAAACAATTTCCTCAGGGAAAACCAATTGGGGAAAATAATTTGTGACAGAAAAAGAACTGTGATTAAACTTTAATGTATTTACTTGTGCTTCTCAGCTGAACTCAGAATGGACACCTTATGAAGTTGCTTGTTTTTTTACAACAGTGGCTATTTCAGGGAGCACATGTAATGTTATCTAAACAAAGTATAAGTAAGCTTGAGGCACCCACCTGGGAGAATAGCTGGGGCAGAAGCCGCTTTTTCATTACTTGGACCCAGAAGTTTCACATGGGTAGCAGGAAACCACCCTTTTTGTCTTTTTTTCCCTCTTGCCTGCAAAAACAAACAAACTCATCATTCAACAGGGAAACAATAAGCAGTCCTCTGTTCCTGTCCATTTCAATACTAAAGGAAAGTAACAATAGTTACAAATATGAATTACACAAGGGTAAATTCAGAGAAGGCATGTTATTTGGTTTTTGTCTTGTTTCAGAGTGAATCAGAAGGGCCAGTGAACAATAAATTTAGCATCTTCTAACCCAGATGCAGGAGGAACCCAGAGCAGCTGTCGCACATACACAGAGCCAGAAACCATCAATTCCAGTGTAATCTACAAACGTACACATGCCCCCTAAGCAAGAGGTCTCCTTCACATGCACCACTGAGAAAGCCATCTCAGCAAAGCATTCTTTTTATATCAGGTATTTTAAAAGGGAATATTTTCACTTATGTCTCTTGAGCTCTAGAATTTCAGTTCTCACCAGTTGCAAATCTTCGGGAATGGATTCTGGGAAAGGTGGTACACCACACCTGGAACACTTTCTGTAAATCATATCCTTTATACCCTCTATTCCCATTTTCTGAGTGCATGTGTATTTGTGTGTGCAGTTTGAAGGCAATTTTGCTCTAATCTGCCTTGATTTTGCCCCAGCTGCTTCTGTGCAGCCTACCTTAATAGCAAGAATTGCAGCTGATACCCTATTTGGGTTGGTGCCTTTCTGGGGTCTCTTCCTCTATCTCCCTGAGAAGGATACAAGCTCTTTGCAGCCTTTGTCTTGGGCTAGTCTGGACGCATTCATTAGGAAGAGAGACAAATGTGATATCAGCATTGATAAATCCTGGGCAGAACCCTAACTGGAATTGTGTAAACTGTAGCAAGTGAATACAAGGTGCAGCTGGATCACAACCCTTTCAGCTCCCCGAAAGGTTCCCATTATACTAGTTCCAGTACTCACCCCCACCTTCAAATCCCTTTCTTTTCCTATTTCCCAGCATGGCAGAGACTTTGTATTACTTAAGCCCCTCATTCTTGTACACTTGTCCCAATGTACTCCTCCCCATGCATGTCTGTAGCCTCATTTTCAGTTATGAAGACATCTGTTTGAGAATGTTGCTAAACTTCCTACAGTACAGCATGAATCTTAAGGAAGAGTACACGTTCATCATTAGCTCCTCTGAATCAACTAATCCATTTTAAATCCATGTTCAAACTCAATAAATGTGCCAAGTGGCTTTCCCTTAACTCTTGTATCTGGATTCTTTCAATTGTGTGTCCTCTTAAACAGTCACCAATGTCTAAAAGTCCCTTGAGCTCAGCCACTGTACATGTGTGAGAACACAAGCGAGGTTATATCCTCATCTGCACAAATGGGAACACTTATTAAATAAGAACAACAGTAAGATTAATAATAGCAAGGAACTGGAAAGTAAAAAATGACTATCAAATGATTAGTATAAAGAAATCTGGAATATAGCTCTTAATGATAAATTAACTTGCAATATTAAGTTGAAAAAGGCTTGTTAAGTAAAAATAGTTGTGAAGATATTTGGTGACTGTTTATTGAATACATTTTCATAAAGGGAAAGTGGTATGTGCCACCTCAAGATTCAATGCAATTTTAAAAGGGGAGTGAGAGTGTGGCAACTTGAATGAATAAAGGATTTTACATTAAGTAACATGTATCTATTGGTCCTGGTAGAAGGTAGTACTGCTATTATTGTATTGTTTAGTTACCATCATTATTAATTTTATTACTTGTATTGTTTCATATTTATGTAAACTATGTATTAAAATAAAAATGTAATACTGCTGGATGAATATACAAAAAGAGTGTATTTTATTTTTAGAAAAATAATGATCTTCCAGGATGAGAACTATTTTAAAATATAAATTATTACTACAACTTTTCTTTTGGTCATTATGCGGTTGGGAAAACAAAGTTAAGAGTCAAGATGTCAGGGTATTATTCTAAAAAAAACAGAACAATAAATTACTCAAGTTGGAAGGGGCTAGAGGACCACTGGTTCCAAACCCCTGCTCAAAGCTGGAGTTCAAGTTAAACCATCCCTCTCAGATGACTGTCCAGTTGCATCTTGAATGCCTCTAGGATGGGAGAGCCCACAACCTCCCTGGGTAATTGGTTCCACTGTCATACGGCACTAACAGTGAGGAATTCTTTCCTGATATCTAGCTGGAATCTGGCTTTCTGTAACTTAAGCCCTTCATTCTGTGACCTGCACTCTGGGACAATTGACAAGAGATCCTGTCCTTTCCCTTTGTGACAGCCTTTCCAGTCTTGAAGAGTGCCGTTATATCTCCCCTCAGTCTTCTCTTCTTGAGGCTAAACATGCCCAGTTCTTTCAATCTCTCTTCATAGGGCTTTGTTTCCAGCCCCTGGATCATCCTTGTTGCCAACCTCTGAACCCTTTCAAGCTTGTCTGCATCTTCTTAAACTGTGGTGCGCAGAACAGAATACAGTAAAGATGAGGCCTAACCAGTGCCGGGTAGAAGGAATATGGGATATGGAAGTGATCCTCTATTAATGCATCCCAAAATAGTGTTTACTTTTCCTGCAGCCACATCACATTGTTGACTCATATTCAGCAACAATTCCAAGATCCTTCTCTCTTGCAGTGCTGTTGAGCCAAGTGTTCCCCATCTTGTAATGATGCATTTGGTTTCTTTTTCCTAGGTGCAGAACTTGGCAGTTGTCCTTACTGAATTTCATTCTGTTTTCAGCTCAGCGTTCCAACCTATCAAGATCCCTGTGAATCTTATTTGTCTTCCAGACAGATTTATCTATCACCCTTTTGTTTTCAATCTGCACATAACCCTACATGGTAGGAATTCTGTTCATATGGAAGTTAATGAAATACATTATCCAATAAGCAAGAATGTATCTCTGTTACCTGCAGTTCTCCCTGCCACCAATCACTAGAGCTTTTCTTCAAAATCAGTATCAGCTGACCTGGGGCAAGACTCAGCTGTTCTGTTCCAGAGGCAGTATAGGCTGTGGTAACCTGAGCAATTTCTGAAAGAAGACAGGTATCAGTGAAAAGTCAATTACTGATGCACACTAAGACACTGAAAAACAGCCAATACTCACCAGGTTTTTTATTTAAAGTTGCTGTTTTGCTAGCAGTAACAGCACTCTATGAAAAAGAAGGAAAGAAAAACAATTTAATTTGCAACAACATAACTTAAAATGTCTTTACTAAATCCTGTTCAAATTCCTTTTTGGCTCTTGCCTCTTGGTAGCACAGCGGAGGCTGGGAGAGAGTGCGGAGGGAGGCCAGGGGACTGGTGAAGGCAAGGTAGGAGCTGGGCAGCGGAGAGGAAGAGAGGCGGGGCCAGAGAGGCCAGCAGGAAGCAGAGGGGTGGGGCCACCGGCCTGAGAGGCTTATAAGGCATCATCCCTTGCCTGCGTCCCTTAGCTGTGGCCTGGGCTGCCCGGGGACTCCCTTCCCTGGGGGCAGGTTTTTTTCCCCCAATTTAAATTTTTATTGTGTGTGTGTTTGTCTGAAAGAACTGGGCGAGTGAGGAGTAGTGCAGGACAGACAAGGCGGGGAAGCAAGTGTTTCTGAGGGGTTCCCAATGGCAGACCAGGAGATGACCTTGGTGGGAGTCACGGGTGTTGCTGTCTGCTGTGACAGCTGCAACATGTTCATCCTTCTCCCTCAGGAGAGGAAAGGATACACTTGCCCTCGGTGCAAGCTGGTGACCCTGCTGGAGGAGGAGGTAAGGTGCCTGGGGGCTGGGAGAGCTCTCCAGGCCCCCCGGGAGCAGCCCCCCTCCAGACAGAGGGTTGAGGGAGGGGCCACGGGAGGAACAACTGGGGAGTCATGGAGGCATGTCACCCACAGGAGGTGGAGGCCAGCATGGCCTCCTCCTCCTCCTGGCGCTAAGCTGGAGCTGGGAAACAGGTTCTCTCTGCTCAGGGAGGGTGGGGCTGGTGAGGCCTTGGAGGACCAGCAGCACCCCCAGCCTGGGACCACAAGCAGCAAGGGGGCCACTGCAGGAGAGGCAAGGGCCAGGGTATGGCTGCCTACCACCACCGGGAAGAGATGGCGGCCGGTGATCATCGTCAGGGACACCCTGCTGAGGGGCACTAAGGCAGCAGTGTGCCAACCCGACCTTGAGGCGAGGGAGGTCTTTTGCCTGCTGGGCACACACATCTGGCATGTGAAGGATAGAGTGGAGCATCTTGTTCACTCTGGGGGTGTTACCAGCCACTTCTGGTGATCCATGTGGGCACAAATGATGTAGCCAGGCGGGGTGTGGGTGGGATCACCACGGACTTCGAGGCCTTGGGGAAGGCACAAGTGGCCTTCTCATCTATCTTACCGGTTCAGGGATTTGGGCCAGACAGGGATAGGAGGGTTGCCGAGGTGAACGACTGGTTTGGGGTGTGGTGTCAGAAGGAACGCTTCGGGTTCCTCAACCACAGCACCTGGCTTCTTGCCAATGAACTTCTGGCAAGGGATGGGTTGCACCTCATGGGGATGGGGAAAAGGTCCTTTGGAGATGCTCCAGCGAGCTTTGTCCGGAAGACTTTAAACTGAGTCGGGGGTGGGTGGGTTCAAGCCCCCCAGAAACTTGTCTGCACTGGACAAGTGTGGGGAGAGGATTAGGGCTCTGAGACCAGGGTTTTAGAGGTACTGCAGGGACTGACAGGGACCGACAAGGAGAGGGCCAGTATCAGGGAAGATGGGAGAAAGGAGGAGGCTGGGGACTTCAAAGAAAGGAAGCTGTGGGAAGGAGTTGAGGCACTTGTACACCAATACTAAGAGCATGGGTAATAAGCAGGAAGAGCTTGAAGCTCTCCTGGGAATAGGAGGGTATGACCTGGTGGGGATCACAGAAACTTGGTGGGATGGAAGGTAAGTCTGGAATGTAAACATAGAGGGGTATCACCTTTTTAGAAAGGATAGGAAAGAAAAGGGGTGGGGGCATAGCTTTATATGTCAGGGAAGGGATAGGATGCAGTGAGATAGAATGCAGCACAGAGGGGGATTCGGTAGAGGCAGTCTGGGTGAAACTTAGGGGTTTTGACAGGGAAAAGGACCTGACAGTGGGGGTATGTTATCACCCTCCAGGTCAACTTGAAACCCTGGATGATGTCCTGACAGATCAGATTCTAAGAATATCTCAGGGGAGGGACACAGTAATTATGGGAGATTTCAAGCTCCCGGATATTAATTGGGAGACTCACTCAGCGGTGACAGACAGGTCATGTCGCTTCCTAGAAGCTATAGAGGGAGGGTTTTTCACACAGAGTCTGAGAGACAACGGGAGGGGGGAACATCCTTGACTTGGTCTTGATCAACACGGAGAAGCTGATAGATGAGGTACAGATTAGGGGAGCTCTGGTATTACTACCACTCTATATGACTCTGGTGCGCCCGCAACTGGAGTATTGTGTTCAGTTTTGGGCCCCTCATTACAGAAGGGATATAGTCAGGTTAGAGTCAGTGCAGAGTAGGGCCACAAGGTTGGTGGCCGGTTTGCAGGGGATGCTGTATGAGGCAAGACTGAGAGAACTGCGTCTCTTCAGCCTGGAGGAGACTCAGTGGGGATCTGTTGGCAACATACAAGTATGTGAGGGGATGTCACACAGAGGTGGGTAGAGACCTGTTCTCCTCTGCAGAGGAGAGCAGGACGCTCTCCAATGGAGCAAAGCTCAGGGAACCAAGGTTCAAGTTAGATGGCAGGAAGTACTTCCTGACAGTTAGGACCGTGAGGGTATGGAATGGGCTTCCACAGGAGGTGGTTGAGGCCCCATTGGTGAGGGTGTTCAAAGATAGGCTAGACATGCACATCGTGGACATGTTGTGAGTAGAGCCGGGAGTCAGACTAGATGGCCCAGGAGGCCCCTTCCAACTCACTCCGTTTCTATGTTTCTTTTTCAGCTGAAGTAATTTTCAAAAATCACCTTTCTTGCTTCCTCTGATGGAATGACCTAAGGCAACCTTCCTCAACTTGGTGCCCTCCAAATATGTAGGAATGGAACTCCCATAAGCCTCAGTCAGCATGGTCAATGTCCAGTCATAATGGGAGTTGTAATCTCAAACTTCTGGAGGGCACCCGGCTGCCTGTTCTCTGGTGTAAGGGCGGTAAACTGTACTTTTCAGTGTTGTGCCTGTTCACATAGGCTCCTTTCAAAAGATTTTCTCATTTGAGTGCACTGATCACTCCCTCCTGTCCCCCTTGACCAACGGTTCTATCCAACTGACACTGCTGACAATTTGAGGCAGAAAAAAGAGAGGAGTTTCCTCATATTGCATCTACCTGTCACATGAAACATTGCCCTATCAAGACTTCAGTTTTTATCTTGTGATGTAATACTGCCCAGAAAGAGGACAATTTCCAGAATGCCTTACACCATGATCCTTTGGCTTGACATAGTTTGAAGGAAAGATTCCAGTTCTGTCACCAATGCTTCCACTCCACCATTCCCCATCTTTTTGTGTAACTAATATTTCTTCACCTTCAATGAATGTTAAATCACCAGGTTCAGAACTTGTGTAAGAATACAATGCTATATAGTCTGAAAAAGAAAGAACACTGTATAGTAACATTGTATATGGTTACAGACTGCAACACATTTACCCATATTATTCCCACAACTGCTCAAATCCTGATTTAGCAGTGATTTGTTTACTTTAAAATTGTTGAGGACACAGTTTATACACTGTTCTACCTCTTGGTTTCATCTATACATCACGGTGTTGAATTCATTAACTAGTATCCGGAGGCTGTTCTGGGATGGATGGAAACCAACTACTGCTTGATGGGGATTTCCAACTGATTTCAGAAGGGTTTTACTTCACCTAAAAGACCAGGTCTGGGAGTCTTTCAAGACAATATGCTAGTGGGGAATTATAGGTAATGGTGATGTTCAGGAATGTATTTTACCAACTTGTGGTTCTATCTGGCAAGAATGTACCTTCCTTCAGTTTCCAGGTGCTAGTGACATTTGGGCTGGATTACTGGCATGTGCAGCATGAGGGGCTGCCTTTGAAGATGGTCTAGGTGCAGAAGGCACCTGCATGTGTATTGGTGGGGGGTGAGGTGATTCAATCATTCTGTACCTATACTATGTCACTAGTATTTCTAGATTCAATTTAAAGTGGTGGCTTTGACTTTAAAGCTTAAATGTTAGGGGGCCAAATTACCTGAAGGGTCACCTTAACCTATATCAGCATGTCCGCACTTTAAGATCAGCCAGAGAAGCCCTTCTCATTTGTCTACCTGTGAGAGCGGTTAGGAGGATGACCACACACGAGGTGGGCTTTTCTGTTCACAGTGAACCACACATCTGGATTAAGTTGCTACTAAGGGTCTGCCATGCATCATCACTGCAGGCTATCAAAAAGGCCCTGAAAATTTCCTACTCCACTCTGGCCTCCTCCTGATTATGTTTTATTTTAAGCTGCTGTTTGTTGATTTGAGAATGTTTGCTGCTGATTCTGTTTTTATTGTGTTTTTACTATTTTTATTACCACATCAGTTTTTATTATGTGCTTTATTGTGTGCTGCCCTGGGAAGGCTTCGGTCTCGCAACACAGCCAAGAAATCAACCAAATGAATAAATAGTCAAATAATAACTGTTCTCCTCCTCTCACATTTACAAAATCACAAGTCCACTGATTTATATCAGTACAAATTTCCCCTTATATTTAGCTCAATGTCAATTTTTAAATATGTCTCAAAGGTGTTTGAAGATTAAGCAGCAAGCATATCAGTTTGGGAAGTACTGACTTACAGATTTTAAAGCAGCTTCATCACAGTAATTTTAGTCTATTCAGAAAAGTAAGCAAGATAACCTGCAGTGTGCAAGTCTCAAGACCTTTAGGGAAGGCATTGTTTTTAAAAGCAAGTTTCCTTCCCATTCAGGTTGCTAAGGGAAATTGTCAAGCATGAAAACATTGTCTAGTGGAAGTTCAAAAGTTAAGGGAATATTTTGCTAGCCAAGATTTCAGATGGTGTGTGCTGCACAACCTTTCCCATAATAACGATTCCATTTGCATTTCAACTTGGTCAAGACCATTTATCCCATACCTTTGTACTCTTTCCCCATCCCCTCTAACGTTTGGTTGCACTGTTTCAGCTTTTTCTTAAATTACTGAATGATTCAAATACAATACAAACAGACTAGTTAGCATTTTTTTTTCTAACTAGTTTGCTACGAGTTTTATTTTTATAGTGTTATACAGTTAAAGGTTCAACACTGACTGCTCTATAGAAGGCCAGAAACTGAAGATGAAACTCAAACACTTTGGCCACCTAATGAGAAGGAAGGACTCCCTGGAGAAGACCCTAATGCTGGGAACAATTGACGGCAAAAGAAGAAGGGGACGGCAGAGAATGAGGTGGCTAGATGGAGTCACTGAAGCAGCCGGTGTGAGCTTAAATGGACTCCGGGGGATGGTGGAGGACAGGAAGGCCTGGAGGAGTGTTGTCCAAGGGGTCACGATGGGTTGGACGTGACTTCGCAACTAACAACAACACAGTTAAAGGTATGCTAGCCTGGGGGTCTATAGTTTGGTACTATGAAGGCCTAAACTTTTCCCTTAAGCATACACAAGTTCAAAGGTTAAGATGGAGATTGAATAAAACTCTTACCCTCTCCTAGTGTATAAGATGGTGTTGTGAGTTTCTTATTTACAGCTGCATAAACAGCTTCTGGTCTGCAGATAAAAAAGTAAGTTATTTTGGCCACTGAAAGACACAGTGCTTGTTATTCAATGATATAGGACTCAAACTTATAAAACCTAGGAAATGCAAAACAAGAATGGCTGTTTTCTGATGTCATAATAAAACAATGATTTATTGTGAAAGGCACATAGTGCAATGCAAGATGATTAGAAGCTTCCCCTTCCACTTTACATTAGCTATAGCTTAACGTGTTGTCTGAATCCTACACTAAGCTTTGTTAAAATAAGCCACATAACCCATGTTTGAAACTGGCTTGTTTAAAATAAATCATAGTTTAATCAGTTTGTTGGGTTTGGACTATGCACCATGATTAATCAAAATGTAAGTGAATTGCACCTTGTGGTTAGGTTAGATAACAAGAGGCTAGAGGGAGTACAGAAGTCCATTGCGATATTAGATTCATTCTCATCATGATGAACCATGGTTTATTGTGATACCTGAATGTCACTTCTGTTTAGAAAAGTCTACCTTCTTTTTCTTCATCACAGCAAATCATTTGAACAGTAAAAGTTATTTAACTATGAAGCAGGCTGCCCTAGGAGGTGGTGGGCACACTCCTTCCCTGAAGCACAGACTGGACAGACATCTATCTGATATGCTGTTGTTGTATTTTAAACTGCACATCCTGCATTTTGCTGGAGGTAGGACTGGATAATCTTTATGGCCCCATTCAATTGTCTGATTCTGTGATAATGTAACTACAAGGCATCAGAGACATCTGACGAAGACTATTATCTTTGCACTCCTTCAATCTTTCTTTATCCATGCAACCCTGAAAAGCCTAACCAAGCTGTGAGCATTGATGGAGTAATCTGGGATAGGTACTAAATTTAATCAGGAATTTATCTTGTGAACCCATGCAGCTGAGATGAAAGCTTTCAAAATTTAGAAGAAAACTGAAGGAATTGGAGAAGGTATTGCAAACATCCCACCTATGTAGACACTAAGGCTGGGATACAGATGGGCAGATGCGAACACATACAATCTTATACAGAGTTTCCATATCTAAATATGTTCTTCAACCACAGACATCTCTTTAAAAGGTTTAAGCTCAAGGAATGGCTTGGGATTTAGTGCAAGAGCAGTTTAAAGTGAATCTCAAAACAAATTAAACAAGCAACAAACAAAAACCATGTAGGCAGTGGTAGCAATTTCCTTATTAACTGTTCTCATACATAATTCTCCAAACTGTTATTTGTAGTCTGCAGAATTTAAAAAGTTATTTTGGAATGCAGGTACTATCTCCACCCACCCTGAAAGAGAGAGAAAGGACAAAGAAAGAAAAAGAAACAAAGAAAAAAAGTTGTTTCTCTGAACCCCAGTCTCAGTATTCTGTTCATCTTCTGCGCATTCCCAGACATATCTTTGAAATGTATTTGAAAACAACAACATGAGCTTTACTTACTCCACTCTTTGGTATTCATTTCCAGGCAAAATTTTTACATAAGATTTGGGAAACCACCCTCTTCTTCTACCTACTTCTCCAAACCACCAATTTTCCTGCTGCTCTAGCACAGTAATTATGTCATTTTTTGAAAAGTTCAGGTGGTTATCTTTCTTTGCAGTCCAGGAACAAAGAGCTTGTGCTTTTAGGTTTTCTACAACTTGTCCCTGTACCCAACAAAAGAAGAAGAAAAGGGGAGCATTTGTGTTAACATTCTGTGCAAGGTAGGTATGTTTTAAGGTAGAAATTATTCAGAATCTTTCACACACACACAATTGTACCAGATAATTTAAAACAAACCAGCAAGCCCACTGAAGGAAAAGCAGGATGGTACCCCAAATATAGATTATTTTGTGTAGCCAAGAAGTTATAAATAATTCACCTTACTGAAACATTTTTCTTTTCAACTAGGTCAGCTGTTCTGCCCACAGATAAGATTTTGTCTATCATCTATTCAAGCAGAAAAGGGTTGTGGTCAGCTTGCTGTAATAATAGCTAATAAACCAGAAAAAGGTGGTAGAAGCTTTTTGATTTTATAAACTGCCCTGGAAATCTGAAAAGCACAAGATAAATTCCTTTACACCAAATAAAGGTCACAGGAACATAAACTGCTGTTCTATTAGCATAGCATACCTGTCCATGGATGGGAGAAACAGATCCTGGGGATACTGTACGAGTAAAAGCAGATTTTTTCTGCCCCGTATTAAGATTTAAACTTGAAAAAGTTACATTTTGATAATCTGTTTCTTCTACTGCTTTATTTGGTGAATGAGACCTGCAATTTTAATACACAAAAATAAAGGTAATAGTTTTAAGAATGTGCAAAAGCTGGAATAATTAGTTGTGATGTAGCAAAGGTGCCAAAAAGAATGCAAGATGTTGCACACATGACACACCAGGATGGGTTGTGTGATTCACAATGCAGCAGTCCTCTAACACTTAAGGCAAAGGTGGGAAGACTTCAGGCCTGCAGGTTGTACTCTGTTTTCAGTGGAATCTAGAACAGCCTTCCCCAACCTGTTGGCCCTCAGAGGCTTTTGGATCGCAATTCCCAGAATTTCCATCCAGCAGAGAGATTGACTGGGAATTCTGGATGTTGCAGTCCAAATGTGTCTGGAAGGCACAAAGTTGGGAAAAGCTGATCTAGAGAATCCACAACTGGAGGCAGGCACAAAACACTTATACATAGGATAAAGGAAATCTGAACTCAGGAATTTGTTTTGGATCCTGGAACAAATGGGAACTTATGAATGGTTCTTCCACACAAAACTCCCCTCCTGGTTATCTTAGGATTCCTCTTAATTTACGAGAATAATTTAGGGTGGGGCAGGAGTCACTCTGTTGTTGCTGTTCTGTTAAACAGAACAGAGATCTATTGAGAGATCAAGTGTGTCTGCCCACCCCTGCCATAATGAAGTCTAAATCAACCATCAGCATCATCAGCCGAGGATATGCAAGGGACAGATCATATATAAATGTATGTTATATTCTGTGTAATTAGTGTGCATTAAATTGAACTTACTCTACAGAAACTGAGGCAGCTGGTAATGATACTGTGGGAGGAAGTAAAGCCTTCTTGGGAGATGAAAAAATCTTTTCATTTTCAGGTAGTTTTTCTACATAATTGCCAGGAAACCAGCCAAAATTCCCTTGGAAGCTTCCATATAACCAACCAGGTTCTCCCTCAGTTTTTTCAACAACCTGGGAAAAACATAGGTTTGTTGACAAAATATTATGTTACTTTTTTGCATGTTTTGTATCTTGCTTTAGACCTATTATAGAAAAAAAATAAGCATAAATCATACATTAATAACCTATTTGGTTTACAGAAAATAACATCCTATCACCCTTTTCTTACCTGAATTATATCTCCAGTATTGAAACTCATCTCATCATGATTCCTTGCCTCAAATGGATATAAAGCTCTGTAATTCACAGAGCCAACCAATTTTGTAGAATCAGAGGCATTAACAGTATGACCTAAAAAGTCAACCAAGAATCATTACTAGTTACTAATCCTATCAATTATATTTTCAAGATGGCAATTAGTATGTACTTCAGAACCTGCACAAGTACACAACACTGCTCTCCCATTCAAGCCATGGTAAATGCCAATATTGGGTGGGTTTGTACTTTGTGAAAAGGGTGGGGATTTGCCATGACTGGAGGTAACCTATTATATTTTCCCCTGGCAGATGATCAGAAAACCCATCTGGTTCCATCGTTTTCTGTCCTTCCACCTCCATCCTCCCACTCTTGCCAGCAGCCCCCACAAGCAAAATTCCTTTCCTTACTATACTGTTACCTATCAAACCTCAGCTGCCTCTTCCAATTGGTCGACTGAGGGTTTGAGACAGGTTCTCCATATTCCTTCTCCTGATCATACCTCTTTAACATTTCCTAGCCAATCTATCCCCCAAAATAAACACTTTTGCTGAGATTCCCTTGTTCTTCCTCTGTGCATTTTCCCAACTTCTCCCTGATTCAGAAAGCAAACAGTGTGATAGGCACAGGGTTCAGCCAATAGGAACAAAACAATTAAAGACATACGAGTTGCTAGGAAGCTGAGGGTGGGAGAGATTAGATGTTTGCAGTGACCTGTGTTCCTGCTCTTTTCACAGGATTCTATGGTGCTTTTTCACCATGAAGGGAAAAACAGCTCCTAGGTCCAGATCTCATGACAGGCATTTGTGGTAAGCAGAAACCATACTGACTATTGTCAGTTGCTGTGGTTTCTGGTCCTGAAACAAACTGTGGTGCTAAGCAATGACTGGGTTTGGACAATGCAACAAGCCCACAGTGGTCCAAAGCACAATTGCTTGTCTTGATGTGCAAACACATTCACTGAGTTCATCAGAGGCAGCACGGAAATGTGTTAACACATCTGAACAGTTCCCACCATGTCAGATCACATCTACAAGTTAATTAGAAATACCAAAGTACACAGTATAGACATTTCAATAGCATGGATTCTAATTTGGCATCTGTGAACAGAAGGAACCCTTTCATTCATGGATGGCAAAGATGCAGTGGGGTATCTTACTGGTAGAACATGGAGGAAAGGCAGATTTGGCTGCTTCTCTCTTCCCCATGTACTACAATCCTGTTCTACCTTGAGCTCTGTAAAACATATTTTCCAGAATACAAACAGCTTCAGGGGGAAGGGAGAATTGGTGAAAGTTGTCTCTTCCCCACTTGCTGGCAGTGGAACTCCAGTTAGGGAATGTATCTGCCCACTAAGGCCAACTTATAATCCTAATCATTTTTCAAACTACAACATAATTACATAATCATTAAACATGAGTAGTAATACCTTCATTTTTCACTGTTGACTTAATATTTTGACCCTTTGTCTGTTTAAGGATATCTACAATTTTTTCATTTATGTTTAACTGAGGAATGGGTTTCTCTGTTTGCAGATGAGTAGTATCTTTTCTTTTCCTCTCTTCATCTAACTGTTTATGACTGTCCTCAGCTGCTTTTGTTTGTCTTCTTTTATCTTCTTCCTTTTGCTTCTGCCTTTGCTGCTCAGCTTCTCGTAGGCTCTCTACTTGTTTGCTCTTTCTTTCCTGATCAAGCTTCTCATCTGCCAGTTTTTGCTGGTGAAGCTTCCTCTCTTGAGCAACAGCTTCCTCAGCTTTTTGTTTTTCTTCATGGATTTTTTCCTGCATTCGCTCTTCCTGTAGACGCTTTCTTCTCTCCTCTTCTTCCTTCTGGATAGTCTCTTGCCACAAGTTCTCCTTTTCTCGTTTTGCTTTTCTTTTTAAAAAGTGGAGAAAATAATGTCAACAAAACAATCTGTATGATACTGATGCTGAAAAGCAAGGGTGAATAGTAAAGACTGAGCATATTCCTTAAAGCTTCTATTCAGGTGCTTCTCTTTATGAGGCATATAAAAGAGTGTATTATTGCTGAGGCTTCTTTCATTTTCTTTGCAGAATGATTAGAACATCCTTACACAAGGTTATATTTCTGGTGGTTTTCTTCTCTACCTTTCTTTATGTTCTTGTGTACCATTATACAAAAAGTATATGATAACAACCTTCACAAAAACACTGAAATGAGGCCCATTGGCCTATAATTTTCAGAGAAAAATATATACTTTTCTATCTTTTAACCTCCTTTGTTTCTTTGCAGGTGGGTAAGGACAGAAATGGTTGACTAGTGAGAGGTGGGATTTTTTAAAGATAATTTAGGTGATTTAAACATTACTGATGTTCAATGTAGCTCTTTGGTTGTATCTAGCAGTCATAATGAAAGAAAAAAGAAATTTCTTGCCAGTTAAATTCATATTCAGACATCTCTTATACAACTTCTATTGACAATACTTATTTATCCTAATGATTGCTTATTGTCAAATGGAGCTTTCTGAAGATGTGTATTTTAAAATTACAAGTTGAACAAATAACTACTACTTTTCTAATGTTACCATCAATCAAGTTGGTCATAACAGTATGAAGAAAATCAGCAACATTTGCAGAGCAATCATTCTGGGATATGCGATGGACAATCTGTGGTCAAACAACCAGCAAAGATCATGCTGGCCAAGGCAGAAGGTATCAGAGGAGGTGGCTTGTCCCCAGTCTTTTCTTAATTTTTGCCACCAGGTTGTCTTTTTTACCATTTGCTTCCTCATTTGTATCAATTAATATGGCATACTCTCCATCCAGCCCCTGTCCCATTGGTATGCCCAGGAAACAAAAGGTGTTTGGAGCTGGTGGACATACCCAGAATCCCCACTTCTTGCCCTCATGATGGCAAGTTTCCTCATTGAGGAAGGCAAAATGGCAGGGCTTTCCCATGGATGGCATTGCCTCTTGAGATACCCATCCAGGGACCATAGCAGTAAAGTCTCAAAAACACAGCACTGAATGCAATATAACAATGAAAACCATTGTACAAGTAGATGAATAAATAGGTTAACTTTACAAAAATAAACAAAGGAAGGTCACAGAATGCTAACTTTGACCTGTAATATCAAAGGTCTTAACTGAGAAAACACAGTGAAGATATTAGGAGAAAAAATGGAATTATTTTGTTTATCACACTACCGTGTAACCTCATCTTCCACTCTTTTTTTCCGGGTAAGTTCAGCTCTTTTTCTTTCTAGTTCTTGGACTTTATCCTGTTTGATCTTGTGGAGCTGCTCAAGTGCTAACTGCTGTGTGAAGTAGGTTTCTCTTAGCTCCTAATAATAAGATATAAAAATGGATAAAGTCAGCAAAAAAGCAAGTAATGTCTTTAGCAAAACAGAACATTATAGTGCTATGTATTCCAATCTAAATACAAATAGGCATGCCAATTCTGTATTAAGATATGTTCAATCTCTTAGGTTTTAAAATACATTAGGTGTTCAAACATTTCTGATGTTTACAATTTTAACAACTGTGACAACTTTTAGCTACTGGAGGCATCATGAAAGAATGAAGGAAATAAGAACAGGGACATTTAATTAATTCTTATAAAATAGCAAAATACATTCTTCAGAGTGTGAGCAGAAACAATGTTAGAGAAATGTAGAAGGTAAGTGTATTGAAAAAGAATTCAGCTTAACACTGGCATCTGCTGAGTTCAGTTTATCTGAACCTTCTTCCTGCACATGAAGTAGACAGACAAAAGTGAAAAGAACCATGTATTTAAAGCTTGTAATGCTGCAACACTTCACTTGTTTAATTTTTGAATGACTTATTATTATATTACATTTGTAGGCTATTTCAGGATTGTGTTATGTGACCTGCATGCACGAATTATTCCTGCTATTTAAGAAAAAGTGTATGCAATATCAGTACCTGTGCCCAAATATGGAGCAAGGAGATAGGGATCTCTGAATGTTTCACTGACTTGCATTATAAGAATTTATATCTTCCCTTTATTCAACCTCGCTCCTTGACTGAACAGGGGAGTTGAAGAGGCTGCAGGGGCAAGAAATGATGGGATGAAGGCCACTCAACACACACAGAGGAATCCCTTGCTCTAAGGCAACCTTACCCGATCTGTTACACACGTAGACTAAAATCCCTATCATCCCCAACCACTGTAACTATAGGCTGTTCTAAGGCCAGGCTCTCCAGTGCCATGCCCACAGGCACATGGAGGTATCCGTTGGTCCCCACAAATCTGCTTCCATTTTTTTCAGTTGGGAATCCAGGCATGTTGCATTTAGTGGTATTAAAACAGCACGGCCACTAAAATACCACTGGCCTCCATCACCATTTTTATTTCTCCAGGGATGCCTCTGAATCAGCGTGCTTAGAAAATGAAACCAAAAGGCAGCTGCTGGCTACTCTGAACTGCAACTACCTTCTCAGGAAAAAAGAAAAGGCTCAGGTGGGCGGGGGGGACTGACAGAGATGGAGAGAGATCAGGAGGAAGCAGGAGGTGACATAAGCATGCACGGTTTTCCCTCCCACACATTGCCAGTGGGGGCTTCTGATCTGACTTGGTTGTGCTCTCTGCTACAGCCCTGATTGTTTCAATGAGATCCTTCTTTATATTGCAAATTGCAGCATACAGGAGCCTTAATCCTGGGCAGGATAAAGATCCCCTACTGCTCAGGTTCTCATCCAGAATTGGGAAGGGGTGTGTGGCCATTTAAATAAAAAAAGCCTGCACTCAGAGGCAGAGCTACACTGCTTGGTAAATTTGCATGGCTGTGCTGTTGTGAAGGTGGGATTTATTTATTTACATTTCTAAGCTGCTCTGGGTAGCTTACAAATGCTAAAACAACATAGAATACTTAGAATAGAAATAATTAATAAACAGGTAAAATAGATAAAGCAATAAAATAATAAACATCTCATAAGAAAATACAGCCACACACACCATAATCTATACAGCCAATAAATTAACCAAAATTAAATTAAAATAAGTAACCCGTAACACAATATAGAATAATTAAATTAATCAAAAACTTGTTTAAATAAATGTTTTCACCTGGTGCCTAAAAAAAAGAAGAGTTGGTGCCAGCTCTATCTCCCTGGTTAGTGAATTCCAGAGTCTAGGCACTACTGCAGAGAATGTCCTCCTCCTAGCCCTTTCCCCCTTGATCTCACTAGGGGAGGGTATTTAAAGGAGGATTGGGGATGGTTCTCCACAATCACATGAAAGGTACATCCCAACAGTATGAAGTTTTGTTGTGAGGATCATGGAAGCCACCTTGGCTTCCTTGCAGGAAAAAGGAGGGACCTAATAACAATATATAATTATTGTTATTGTTTATTATATTAAGAATTCTATTATATTCCTAATATAACACATACTGAGAATAATAATATATTGCAACCTTCAAAAAGTTTTGATTTTACTTACTTGAGAGATAAATAATATCTCTCAATTATACAGTGCTAGTCATTTATAAACAGGAAGCTAGAACTGGGGTAGGGAAAAAATGGCAACCATATGAGTTGTAGTTCCAATGAATCATCACCGTTCTATTCCTTAAAAGAAAGAGCTGATTTGTCTTGTTGGTATAAAGTTAGGGTTACAGTACGGCTCAAATGAGTGTTAGAAACTCTCAACATGTCACAAAAATTGGATGAAGAATGAATACATTACCCCAACTGTCCTGAGACATCAGTAGTTGAACATGTTATAAAAGTCTTAAATACATACATACATACAATTTTAATTTTTAAATATTTTTAACTTCATGTACTACAGAGTTACCAAAAAGGCAAAGTTACAATCTTGACTTCCTACTTGCTGTTACGTGGGGTAGGAAGACATCTCCTTTTTAAACTCTCATTTCTGCCTGTGCCTTAGCGTCACCAGTCATCACTTTCAAATCATCTTTGTCCTTATCTCTTGACATACTTTTCTACTCTCCCAGTCAATGATATCCCTTGGGATTTATCCCTGACACCTCACCTCTATCTTTTCTGCCAGGCCATGACCTATCCTACCACATTCCCTTCTTAGCTCTCAAGGGTTTACATTCTTCTTTAGTACCAAAAATGAAGCAGTCTGCTCTATCCCTCCCATTCCCTGCCCTTCTAATTTTCTCTCCTCCTTCAACTTCCTTAATCCTTTTTTCTGTTCTCTCTGCCACAGTTGCTAGCTGACTACTCTGTTGTGCTTGTGTAACTTCTCTACATGTGTCCTTGATCCATTTCTCTTCAGACAGAGCTCTGCTAATTCCTCATAATCACTTTTTTCATCTGCGGCTCAGCTCCTAATGTTTTCAAATATACCATCATCAATCCCATTTTCTTAAAAAAACCAAAAAACAAAGCCCTTCTCTTGCCCTGTCCTTCCTCTCCAGCTACCACCCAATCACAGTTCTGTCTTTAATCTTCATAATTCTGAAATATGCTGGTTAATTCCACTGCCTCATTTCCAGTTCTATCTATCTATCTATCTATCTTTCTCTATATTGGTCCAAGTGAATTACAATGGAATAAAAATGCACTATAACAATAAAAACGGTAAATTAAAATGCACAACAATCAACAAGAAAGAAACAGTAAAACAAAACAATACACAGTTGAGGGATAACAATTTAAAACAGCAGTACAACTAAAATTATCAAGATAAAATCAATTATTAAAATGTCTAGAAAATAAAGTTGGTTTTACCTGGTACTGATAAGGTTGTAACAAGAGCACAAGGCAAACTGCTTTCGCAGTTGTGCCCATAAGCAGGGCACAACTACTGAGAAGGCCTTCTGCTCTTGACTTCCTCCAGTTTGGCTTCCACTCCCTGAAAACCACTGAAATCAGCCTTCAATACAATTGATCTTTTCTTTTTTCTTTTTGGTGGGGTTTTTAGAAGGGAAGGTTTTTTAGAAAGGAAATGTTCAACAAGAAAGCTAGGTTGCTTGCCGGTAACCACCGTCCTTCAAATGGACATCTGTGCATTCACACCTATTGGCTCTGCACCTGCATGGAGCTTGTTGCTGGGAAGATTCAATAGCAAAGAGCATTTTGGTGGGAACCCCTTCCCCACCCCAGCATCCATATAAGAGGGAGGGGCTCCCCCCATTTCCCTCAGTTCCAGTGAGAGTGCCCAGAGGCCTTGGTTCCATATGTACCAGATCCACATTAGGGAGTGATAGTACCATATCTGCATTAGTGAGTGGTATCATAGAAGGAAGCCATTCATTAAAAAAGGGACAAACACATTACAACGCAGACAGGTAAGTCACTCACGAATTTCAGTGAGATAAGTGGGTGGGCTGTGAATACACAGATGACCACTCAAAGAACAACAGTTACAGGTAAGCAAACTGCCTTTCTTCTTCGTGGTTTCTGTATATCACACATACAGGTGATTGGTCAGTTTGGAGGACATCTTGACCAATGCTGCCGCTCTGGATTCTGGAAGATATGCTGCTGCTTTGGTGAAGCCTTTGTGTGCCCCAGTGAAAAGAAGAGAAACTGGGAAGAACAAAAGATTCTTCTGAATTTATACAGGGGGCAGGTCTATTGAGTAAAGTGCATGTGGTATGGATTGATTCAAAAAGTTCCACCCTTGTCAGAGCCACTAATAAACAGTTGGAAGGTATGGGTACCTGGATTCCTTGTTGACGAAGTTAGGCACACACTACAGCCATACACTTAAATAGACTGGGGCCACTTGAAAGTCCAAAGGGTAAAACTGAAAACTGAAATGTCTCTTTCCCCACCTCGAAGTGAAGACAAAGTCTGTGGAAGGGTGCTATTGAAATGTGAAAATAGGCATCTTTGAGGATGAGGGATGGAAACCAATCTCCTTGTTGGAGAAGTGGCAGAATGCCCTGTAAAGTAACCATCCGGAAATTTTGGTAACATGAAATAGCATGAGAAGAACCCATGCTTAGCAGGTGAGCTGGGGACTTGCTCACTGGCCTTCTTTGAAAGGAGGGAGTGAATCTCCTCTAACAGGCTTGGAGATACAGGTGCCACTTGCATGGTGCCAACAGCTGGGAGGGCATCACACTTGATCCTGTAATCTTTCTTGACAACACCCAAATGCCCAACATTATTGCCTACAGTGCAGGCGGGAGGGAAGGAGTGCAGAAGAACTCAACTGGTGCAAGAGGTGACTCCATAGGGTGATGGATCTCTGTTATTGAGGCTTGGTTGTCTTGCAGTGGGATAGGAGGAAGCAGATCCGCTGGGTATCCTCTGAAAAGTTTCAGGGTGGTATGCCAGTCCATACCGGGGATTGTACATGGGATCCTGATAGTAATAACCCCATAGATCAACAAAA